GGGGCAGGGCAGGAATAAAGACGCAGATGTAGAGAACGGACTTGAGGACACGAGGGGGGAGGGGAGGCTGGGACGAAGTGAGAGAGGCATGGACATATATACACTACCAAATGTAAAGTGGATAGCTAGTGGGAAGCAGCCGCAGAGCACAGGGAGATCAGCTCGGTGCTTTGTGACCACCTAGAGGGGTGGGATGGGGAGGGTGGGAGGGAGACGCAAGAGGGAGGGGATATGGGGACATATGGAGACGTACAGCCGATTCACTTTGTTGTACAGCAGCAACTAACACAACGTTGTAAAGCAGTTATACTCTGATAAAGATGTATTAAAAAAATGAGAGTTCTGAGGTAGATGATCCTGAAGGCACCTCAGGTCTGAAATGTTAGGATTCTCTTGGATTCTCTAATCCTTCCCAATCTTCCCATTGTCGGCTACCATTTAATTTTAAAACTTACCAAACACATTGCTTCTAGAACGACAGAACCAGGTCTTGGGAAGCTTCAGGAAGATCAGAAGCTGGAGTTTAAGCCAAGCTGTGGGGAACCAGGGAGGCTGGGGCTGAATGAGAGCCCAGCCAGGAGGCAGGAATCAGGGCTGGTGGACACGAGCGGGGGGCGGGGCAGGGGTCCGGAAAGTAGAAACATGACTTCAGCTCCCTGAACAAGGGGCAGAGAGCGTCGCCAGCTGAGTTGGAGCAAAGTCCACCCATTTTTCACATCCAGGCAGAGAAGGGACTGGGTAAAGAGCAGCCTGGAAAAACTGGCATCAAAGAGCCCAAACTGGAGTGACAGGACATGGGGACAGGGAGGAGGAAGGAGCCACTGGAGGCCCTGGGCAGGGTCTGAGCCGGGTAGGTGGGCACGTGGGCAGGCTAACATGTTGGTGCCCCATCGAGCCAACAATCTTTAAATATTGATGCCATATTTGGGGGGGAGGTAAGGCTGGTTGCTGAGTGAGGGGAGGGCACAGAGGATTAGCATCTCCTCTGTCATTCTGACCAGCTCAGCTCCAGCCTGGAACCCCTGCCTCAGACTCTGCAAAAACAGAAGCTTGTCTTCCTCAGCTTCTCCTCCTGGGAGGGGGTTGAAGGAGCAGGTGGTTTGTTTTTTTTTTTGTGGTACGCGGGCCTCTCACTGTTGTGGCCTCTCCCATTGCGGGGCACAGGCTCCGGACGCGCAGGCTCAGGGGCCGTGGCTCACGGGCCCAGCCGCTCCGCGGCATGTGGGATCCTCCCGGACTGGGGCATGAACCCGCGTCCCCTGCATCGGCAGGCGGACTCCCAACCACTGCGCCACCAGGGAGGCCCGGAGCAGGTGTTCTTGTTGGAGCCTCTGGGGGGGTGGGTCTTACTTCCCATCCCAAGAAGAAAGCGCCATCACTTTACACAGTTTTCTCCCTGAAAGGAGTTCCGGGGGAAAAAGCAATTTTTAGCACTCTGCTGAATTTCTAGTGATGTTTCTGCTGCCCTTTTGGGTCAGGACTGCTCAGGCAATAGCTTCACTGGCTGGTCCCTTAATCTGGCCCTGGTTGAGGACCTGGAAAAGGAGAGAGGCCAAGACTGCCTTGATGCTGAGGGAGGAACTCATGACCTCAGGCTCCGCTGCTCCCCTGCCGTCTTTTGGGGCCAAGACTGGGAGGGGAGGCTGGGACTGACTGAGCCCGTGGGTCAGTAAATTCTCCCGGAATCCGCCAGGGCCAGTGACATTTGGTGGAGGGGTGAGGAGCCTGGCTGACCATTCCTGGGAGCTTTAATGTTTCCTTCTCTCTTCCAGAGCTTTTCGCTGAACTTCACACTCCCGGCCAACACAGTGAGTACAGCGGTCCCCGTTCGCCAGGCAGGTCAGCAGAGATCAATGCAGAGTTGACACTGGGCCTCCAGGATGCCAAAGCTCACGTGAAGCAACAAGTTACACGGGTTCCAAAGGAATTACGAAGAGCTGGGGGTGCTGAGAGAAATGTTTTCGATTATAAAAATTATAAATACACATTTTGAAAAGGAAAATAGCAAAAAACCAAAACAGCTAAATTGCCATCAGCAGAAAACACTGGGGACACTAATTCCAGTCCTGTCTGACTCTACATAAATTTTGAATTTTGTTGCATTTGTACCATGGTCTTCTGATTCTACCCATAATTTTATATGATAAATGTCTTCCATCCACCTTTATAACCGTACTGAGGGTGGTCACATGATATTTCTTCAAGTGAATTCTTTCTTTAAGTGATTAATCACTCTTAGGAATGATTTTGTGGTAAACGTAGGTATAGATAAATCCTTGTCAGCACGTAAGCTGATTCCCTTAGAATGTAGCCTAGAAGGGGAATTAGTGGGTCAAGAAGAATGAATGTTTTATGGCTCTGTGACATTTAGTTGCAAGTCCACATGGAGATTTGCAGTTGATGATGGTGGACCGTTTCAATCCAGAATTGGTCCTCCATCTTCTGTTCTTGTGCTGTGTAGAGGTAACACGCCAGGATTGTTTTCTGAGCGGAAGTGCTGCTGTGATGGAGCCAGGTGTTTTCCTGGCCCAGTTTTTCAGTGGTTTTGGCTGTGCCAAAGTTTTCTGAAAAGTCATATGGTTATTCAAAGAGAATAAACTGAATCATCAGGAAAGAGGACGCTTAAGCCCATGCTCGTGTTTACTGTACCGTGGGGGCGTCATTCTGGAGAGCAGCAGAAAGGTAGAACCTCGAGACTCACTGCCGGCCTTCTGCTGCCACTGGCGGCCCTGACATCTGTCCGTAACTCCCTGGCACCTGCTCTACCCTCCCGGGGCGGCCCTGCCTTCGGACCCTCCCTGACTTACTCTGCTCCCTGCTTCTGCCTCTGCCTGTTGTCTGCAGACAAATTCCCCTGTCCCTCTCCCTACCTGTCAAAACCTTTTAATATGGCCACTGCTGGCACTTCCCCCCGGCTGCTCGAAGCCAGCAGGTCCATAGAGACCCCGGGTTCTGTCTTATCCTGGCTTGGCCCAGCCTACGAAGGTAACTCAGAGAAGCAAGAAGCCGTTGCTTGGGGCAGTGAGGGTGGATGGGTTGAGAGGCAGGCCCTTACACTGTTAGTCATCACTTTGGGAGCATCTCCTTGGTTCACAGCACATTTCTCTGAGAACTGTCCCTCCTCCCTTTGAACCTATGTAGGACAACAGCCACCCCAGCCTGCCTGGGACTGTCTGGTTTTAGCACTGAATGCGCTACCACCTAGGCAATTTCTGTGGAAAACCAGGACGGCTGGCCACCCTACCTGGCAGTTATATTTCTACCATAGAACCCTTCCGTTTTGGTGCAACTGGGTGACTGGGAACACCAGAGCCCTGGAAGGTAGGGAAAGGTGGATACTCAGCTCATGAGAGCTTCTCTGCAGGGAGCTGGGGACAGGGCCACATATGCAAGTCCGCCCCTACTGGGCCATACTGAACTGTCAAGTGTAAAAACTGGGTTGGGATGCTGCATTTGGTCATGGAAGGCAGAGTAGTCCAACGGTTAAGAACTTGGACCCTGGAGCCAGACCACTCGGCATCTGCCACTTATGGCTGTGTGACCTTGCACAAGTTACTTGACTCCTCTGTGCCTCACTCTTCTCTTCTGTAAAATGGGGATCGTTATAGTCCTGCTTCACTGGCTATGGTGAAGAATAAATGAGTTGATACAGGAAAAGTACTTGAACAGCCTGGCACATAGTAAGTTCTCCATAAGCATTAGCTGGTACGATTAGCAGGTGTCCATGAGGGCAGAAAAATCCATCTGGAGAGAGAAAGAAGGAAGCAAACAGGCAGAGAAAAGTACAGGTGAAAGGCCATTCTACCCAGGAGTGATGGAGAGATCCCAGGAGGGATGGCTTTGGTTCTGACAAGTTCTCGGTCCCCAGCTTCAGTCCCTAGAGAGGCCAGATTCCCACTGCCCATGGGCTCCATGAGGTACCCCTGAATCCTTAGAGGTAACTCATTTTGGGGGGCCAAAGCCAGCCCAAGTGAGTTTCTGTAACCTGAAGACAAAATATCTTACCCAAAACGATATGCAACTCTTGGCATCACCCTGAGAAATAGAACCCTTAAGGTAAATGCAGCTTTAAGGTGGGGGTGGGGTGAGATTGCACTTCGGTAAAACTGTAGCTATTTATTTTTTTAAATTTTATTTATCTATTTATTTATTTCTTAACACCTTTATTGGAGTATAATTCCTTTACAATGGTGTGTTAGTTTCTGCTGTACCACAAAGTGAATCAGTTATACATATACATATATCCCCATATCTCCTCCCTCTTGCGTCTCCCTCCCTCCCACCGTCCCTACCCCACCCCTCTAGGTGGTGACAAAGCACTGAGCTGATCTCCCTGTGCTATGCGGCTGCTTCCCACTAGCTATCTCTTTACATTTGGTAGTGTATATATGCCCATGCCACTCTCTCACTTCGTGCCAGCTTACCCTTCCCCCTCCCCGTGTCCTCAAGTCCATTCTCTGTGTCTGCGTCTTTATTCCTGTCCTGCCCCTAGGTTCTTCAGAACCATTTTTTAAAAAATTCTATATATATGCGTTAGCATACGGTATTTGTTTTTCTCTTTCTGACTTACTTCACTCTGTATGACAGACTCTAGGTTCATCCACCTCACTACAAATAGCTCAATTTCGTTTCTCTTTATGGCTGAGTAATATTCCATTGTATATATGTGCCACATCTTCTTTATCCATTCATCTGTCGATGGACACTTAGGTTGCTTCCATGTCCTGGCTATTGTAAATAGAGCTGCAATGAACATTGTGGTGCATGACTCTTTTTGAATTATGGTTTTCTCAGGGTATATGCCCAGCAGTGGGATTGCTGGGTCATATGGTAGTTCTATATATATGTATTTTTTGTGGTACGCAGGCCTCTCACTGCCGCGGCCTCTCCCGTCACGGAGCACAGGCTCCGGAGGTGCAGGCCCAGCAGCCACGGCTCACGGGCCCAGCTGCTCTGCGGCATGTGGGATCTTCCCGCACCGGGGCACGAACCCATGTCCCCCACATCAGCAGGCGGACTCCCAACCACTGCGCCACCAGGGAAGCCCCGGTAGTTCTATTTTTAAAAACTGTAGCCATGTAAGTACCAAGTGTCAATACCTGGTTAGCAAATCTCTCCTTTGATGAGAGCTCTCTGGGAAAGAGGCTTAGGCTCGGAATGCAAACATCCACATTTGGGTTAGATTTATGGTTACCTATGAAACCTGGGAGAAGACCTATAACTTCTCTGAGATCTGGATCATTTTTTTTTTTTTTGGTAAAATAGAGACAGGAACTGTCAAAAGTCCAAGCCCCTGGGATTCCAGTGTACTCGCTGAGGTTGATGAGAATATTCAATATATAACAGGTCTGGCCAGAGCTTTGCCAAGTTTAAAGGAATGACAAAAGCTTATACTCCTGGCGCTCATTTGATCCTTTTACCAATCCTAGAGGTAGGTACTCACAGCCCTATTGTATAGATGAAGAAATGAGGCTCGTTAGCTTGTGAGTGGAGAAATCGCCATTTCATTCCAGCTAGTGTGAGCCTAGGACTCGTGCTCTTAACCCCACGCGGCATCACCTAGCGTAGCTCACATGGGTCAGTTGCTAATGTGGAACTCTGTGCCATGAGATTTATTGATCCAGATAAGACTCTCATCTGATATATCTCATAAATGGGTAAAATCCAGTGCCCCTCCTTGAGTGGAGATGTGAAATGGGAACATGTACTGTGCTCATTCAACATAGAATTATCCCAGGAGCATGGATAATTCACAACTTCAGACACCTGCCCAAGCCATTTGCTTCATTGCAGTTTGGAAACAGGTAAGGCCTCCTTAAAGAGCCTGGCTTCCACTGGTATTGAACTTTTTTCCCTTCTAGCAACTGGGACAAGTAGGCCCAAAGTGTGCTGGGAAGGGTGTGGGGACTTGGGACAGGAGAAAAACTTTTTGAGTTCTGAAACCTGTTATGGCAAATCCACCAGGTGAATAATGAAGACCTCACCTGAATTTCTGATTTCTCTCTCCTTGTAACCCAATTTTATTCCTTCTTACCTGAGAAGCAATCAAAGAGGGTTCTGTTCGGCAGTTGTTTTTAATAAAAAGTTTAGCAAAGGTATATACTTCAGGCATTACAGCTTAGCCTTGGACAGACTGTGTTGTGTGACGTGCATTCTATAGATTTTGTTTTCTTAAGACGTATATTCTTTTTCCACCCAGACTTCCTCCCCAGCTGTTACCAGTGGGAAAGGAGCAGTAAGTATATCACTTAAATTATGGAGCCTTAGTTTGGTCATTTAGAAAATGGGGATAATGCTGTACCCATCTCATGCATTCGTTTTGAGGATTAAAGTTTGATATGTGAACTGTCACCAAGCACAGAATCTTCCTCAACTATTATTCTTATGACCAACTCAGTTCAAAAGTGAAGGAGAACACGCAAAATCACAGATGATTCCCAAAGTGTTGAACAAAAGAAGCTAGACACAAGAGACTACATACTTTCTACGTGCATCTAGATGACGTTGAAAAACAGACAAGACTAACCTACGGTGATGGATTTCAGGATAGAGGTTACACATGCAGTGACTGGAACGGAGCCCGAGGGGCTTCTGGGGGGCTGGTAATGTTCTGTTTCTTCATCTGGGTGCTGGTTACATGGGTGGGTTCATCACGTGAAAAGTCATCAAGCTGTATATTTATAATGTATATACTTTTATGTATCATGTCATTCTTTAATAAAATCACCCCCCCCCCAAAAATGAAGAAGAATCCAGTATTATACGACATTGCATGTGTGTAGAGATTCTGAACACTATCTTTGGTATTTTCAAATAATCTGCAAATCTGAAAACATATGGAGCTACAAGCATGGCTATTTCCACTCAGATCAAAGCAAAATGGGAGTCTGAAAAAAATTGGCTCGTGCATTTAATGTAAATAAATTTAAAAATTCATATCAAAATGGTGTGGGATGCACTAAAACCTTTTACTTTTTGCCAGACTAATAGATAAGAATGGTATCTAATTGTTGCTTTGAACTGTATTTCAGCTCTTCCTGTGTTGATGCAACATTTGTATTTCTGTTCCTAGGAATGGCCTGTTCATATATTTGTCCAATTTTCTACTGAATTATCACCCTTTTCCAATTGATTTAAACTATGTACATTAACTCCTATGAAAATGAGCCGTTTGTCATGTACGTTGCAAACAATTTTTCACTGTTATTTCATTACCCTTTTGATTTTGTATACGAAACTTAGGGTCCATGTAGGGTTTTGTTTTACTTTTAATCAATCAAACTCTTCCTTTTTTTCTGGGAGAACCTGACTATTTTCTCTGTGCAGGACTGTGGACCTTCTCTTGGGTTAGCAGCTGGCATCCCGTCCCTGGTGGCCACGGCCCTGCTGGTGGCCTTACTATTTACTCTGATTCACCAAAGAAGAAGCAGCAGTGAGTCCACCGAGGTGATTAGCAGCTTCTTTGGGTCTGACGTGTTGGCAAGAATCGGTATTTGATGAACTGGCTTTGGGCTGAGGGTGTCAGGACCCATGTCTGTTTTCTGAGGACAAGGTGGCGGATGTTTCTGTGCCTCAATTTCTGTCTCAGACTCATGACATTATCCTCCAGGCAGAGCTGATTTGTCACACAACCCTTGTGTCACTTGAGGATGGTATCTGGGATGGCAAAAAGTAGCAGCGGAGAGGGACGTTTGTTGCTACGGCAAACACATCAGTACAGTGGGTGTGTTCTCTAACCTTGAGAAACAAGGCCACAAGCTTCACAAAGAGGATGGAGGTGATCTTAGGAAGGATGGGAGGCAAACAGACCCTGAGGCGTCTATCGTAGGGATACGTCCAGGAGTATGTGACTCTGTTTATCTTTGTCTTTTTCCCACTTCTGAACACACATCAGTCACAAGGGAATCTCCCGACCCCACCCCATGCAAATACCAGATTGCTCTGGAGACCAGGCTCAGAATTCAAGGGCCACCCTGACCCACATCCAGCCAGGGTCCATGGTTGTGATACAACTGTGTTGTGTAGACTCTGGGCTCTAATTCCATCCTTATTTATGAACATTCCTGATAGTTCTCACAGTGGTAGGCGTTAATGGGGAGTAAAAAACGTAGGTTCTAACCCTGGCTCTGCCACTGTACAATTTATATGATCCTGGACAAGTGACTTAACATTTTCTGTTTCTTGGTTAGTTCAACTCTAAAATAAGAGTCATAAAAACTACCCACCTCAGGAATTCCCCGGCGGTCCAGTGGTAAGGACTCCGTGGTCTCAGCGGCCAAGGGCCAGGGTTCAATCCCTCCTTGCCCTTGTGGGGAACTAAGATCCCACAAGCTGTGCAGTGCGGCCAAAAAGAAAAAAATATATACCCACCTTATTTATTTAATTAAAAAAATTTTTTTTGAATTTTGGCTGCGTTGGGTCTTCACTGTGGCACGCGGGCTTTCTCTAGTTGCGGCAAACGGGGGATACTCTTCACTGTGGTGCGCAGGCTTCTCACTGCGGTGGCTTCTCTTGTTGCGGAGCACGGGCTCTAGGCACGCAGGCTTCAGTAGTTGTGGCATGCAGGCTCAGTAGTTGTGGCTCACGAGCTCTAGAGCGCAGGCTCAGTAGTTTTGGTGCACGGGCTTAGTTGCTTCGCGGGCATGTGGGATCTTCCTGGACCAGGGCTCGAACCCATGTCCCCTGCATTGGCAGGCGGATTCTTAACCACTGCGCCACCAGGGAATTCCCTACCCAACTTATTTTAAGAGGTAAGTGGAGGTGTAAGGATGGAATGAGATCATGGGTATAAAGATGTGTTGACAAGCTGTAAACTTTAAATATATTAAGAAATATTGTGGTTGTTGGTGGTATTATTTAAGTAATGGTTCCTCAGTCTTTCAGGGCACTTTAAAATCATCTTGGAGGCTATGAAAATACCAACCACCAAAACCAATTAAATCAGAATCTCTGCATGTTAGAGCTGTGGCATTGGTACCAAAAATATCTCAACATTTTATGATGGATCACGTTAAGCAGATACTAAAGTAGAGAGAATAGTATAATGAATCTAGTTATTAACAACGGCCAATCTTGTTTCATCTCCACTTCCACCCACTTTTCCACACTGTCAACCTGGATTATTTTTGAAGTAATTCACAGTGGTATCTCTTGTTTATGTTTTTTCTGGGAGGGGGGAGTTATTATCTGTTTGTTTATTTTGTTTTATTTTTAAAGCTCTCTGGTGATTCTAATGTGCAGCCAGGTTTAAGAACCACTGATTTTAATCATGGTCATGGGCAAATGCTGTAACCTTTCATTTCTTCTTCTCTATTTTGTTTTATTTTTTAAAACAACTTAGGAAAGTGAGAGGCCTTGTGAAATTTCAGAAATCTATGACAGTCCCAGGATAGCTGAGGTAAGAACTCTTGGTTATAATCACTATACATCATTCACATGGCAAACAAGCTAAGGGTCTTAAAGCCTCTGGTGTACAGGAGAAGTGCAGGGTAAGCACAAAGGAGGTTCTCATTATATTTTTACTGGCTGGACAGGAATTCAAGATTTATTTAATATTAGAAAATTAATTTAATATCACTTATTTCACTGGTAAAAGAGAAAAACCATGTGATCATTTCCATAGAAGAGAATTCAAAAATATTTTACAGCCATTTGTGATGTGAACTCCAAGCAAACCAAAAATTTAAAAGGCACTTCCTTAACTTGAAACAAGACATCTTTAAAAAAAAGAAAATTACAGCAAATATCATACCTAAAGGTAAAATGTTAATGATTCTTTTTCAGATCAGAAACAAAACAAGGATGCTCGTTGTTACCAGTTCTATCTGATATTATACTTTAGGTCCTAGTCAACACAGCAGGATGAGAAAAAGAAGTAGAAATTAACTCAGTGCAGGAGAATCCTTTCACAATGTATATGTATGTCAAATAATCACACTATTCTCTTTGAATATCTTACAATTTTATTTGTCAATTATACCTCAATAAAGATTTAAAAAAAAGAAAAAGAAGCAGAAAGCATAAGACTGGAAAAGAAGAAACAAAAATGTCATTATTTACAGATGATATGATTATCTACATAGAAAAGCCAAATTATCTACAGATAAATTAATAGAACTAACAAGATATTTTAACAAGTTTACTGGATATAAAATCAATATTAAAAAGTAATTCACATTGCTAAAAATCAATAACAATTAATTAGAAAAAGTAATTTTTAAAAAAATACCATTTTGTAGTGGTAATAAAAATACACAGAATGATGAGGAATAAATCTAACACAAACATGTAATCCCTTTATGGAGAATAATAAAACTTCAGTAAAAGATATTAAGTAAGACCTAAATAATGGGAGTTGGTATTCAATGCTCCTGGATAAGAAGACTCAATGGTATACAGATATCAAACAACTTCAAATTGATCTGTATAATAAATGTAATTCCAGTATAAACCTCAGCAAATATTTTTCATGGAACTCAATAAGGTGCTTCTAAAATCTATACAGAAGAAGACAGAAAAAAATGTTAAGTACCAGCAGACAGGTAGAACAAATAGAAAACAAATAGGAAGATAGTAGATTAAAACCCAACCATATCAATGATCACACTGACGGTGTCCAATGTCTTGAAAACTATTTGTTCCAAACATTTTGTCTGATGGTTGGTTGTTTCAGGTGGGAGGGTAAATCTGGCTTCTGTTACTCCAACTTGACCAGAAGCAAAAGTCTTTGATGTATTTTTTTTTTCAACCTGTTTGTTTTCTCAAGAATCCTAGGAGGTTACCCACACAGGAGAAGAATATCACGGGAGCAGAAGAAGCCCACATATATGTGCAGACTGTTTCAGGAAGTGAGGAACCCATTCGTGACACTTACCGTCCTGCTGTCGAAGTGCAGAGAAGGAGGGCGTTGTGGTGGCTTATTCCCAGACTGAGCCTGGAGTGATGCAGCACAGCCAAGGAGCAGATCTGGAGCTGGAACAGAGCTAAGCACACAGGGATTTGTGCTCGGAGGGAGGAGAGACGCCACGCTGCTTCTTAACCAATCCAAATTTCATTTGCAGATCCGGAAAACTTTGGGGTTGACTTTACTCTTTAAGGGACAGATCTGGTAAGGTTCATTCCAACGCTCAGACCGTGTGGTTTAATAAGCAGTGAAGTCGTTGTGCATCAAAAGGAGCCCTTGGGTCCTGCTCTTGACCCCGGCGGGGCTTTTCTTTGTGATTTGGGGAAGGGGGTTTGATTTCTCGGTGACTTGCCCCCTCCTTTTTTTCATATCCATTTTCTCAAAAAAGCCGTCAGACCTGGCTTCCATGGGCAGGTTGGCCAAGGCTAGCATGGCAGAAGTTGGGATATAAATGAAACGTACAGGGGATGTGTGAGGAGAAGCAGTTCCTTATTTCTGAACAACTCAGGGTAGAAACCATGTGGAACCACATGTTCCCCGACCACAGGGGCAGCCCACTGCTGCATCATTCATCACTTGTGATCAGAGGGTATCTAAGGAAGGCAGTTCTGTAATGGGCTCTGTGTCTGTGTGTGGGTGCGTGCGCACGGAGGGTAAATAGGGAGAAGGGAAAGCAGAGGTTGTTTCAAAAGATTATTAGAAATGAGGGCTATACCCATTTTGTGGGAGTGGAGAGAAAGGCCCAAGTCCTTGGACCATCATGGGGAAAAACTCATTAGCAGGAAGAAAGATCAAGAGGACTCTGAGTGGATGAACACAGGACCAAAGGGATGGGCCAAGTAGCAATGTGACTGTCGTCTGACGGGAGCCCATGGACAGTTTCACCATCGCTTCTGTGAGGAGGCTTACAGGAGTCCTGGTTCCCCTATGCAGGTCCATTGCTTGTGAGCACGCCAGTCTCCTGGTGGGAGAACCTGGGTCCAGGGCATCTTGGGGTCCACCCACCAGCTCCATGGGCCTCCTTGAAATGCTGTGGAAACATTCCTTTCACATACGGGGTGTCTGATTGCTCAGAAACACACCTCCTCTTCTTCAAATAACCAAGGACAGGTTATACACATCCAATCACTGTCACACGCTGACACGTGCTCTTCAAAGCTCTTTGTGAAATTCAGTTTTGTACCAAGTACACTGAGTCTAGTCACGTTAACAAGCAGATTTGTCCGTTTTTAAGCGGACATGCCCAGGGATCCAGGTGCTTATACTTCTCTTACACGTTGGGAAGGACCTTGGATTTGCTGAGAACATGACTGTGGCCTTAGCCTTGACACTCAAAGGTCTGAGCTCTGGAGCATATCATGGGCCTTAGCTGTCTGTGTACAAAATGGAGATAGCCATTTTCTTCCTCCTACCCTTAGGGGTGTTGTGAGGCTGAAGAAGGCAAGTGAATGAGCCTTGTAGTCTGTAACGTGAGACTTGCATTTTGGATCATTTATTTTAATTCTACTTGCAATCCATTACTTAGTATCTTTATTTTAAATGGTTTCTACTAAATTCGCTAGGTTCAGTATTTCTGTCATTTTTTTTTTCTGCTCTGATGCACAAGAACTCATTTTAGAATAAAGTGAAAAAGCAAAATGGTCACTCTTGTGGACCTTCAACACGTCTATGGTGTTTCTTTGCCTATATTAAAGTATATGACATTGACCCTGGGGCTGGAATCAAGGGTATCCCAGGGATATTCCTGGTGCTGACACTTTCTTGGCTGGGCTCGTGATGGAGATGTTCAGTCCTTCACAGAGGGCAGCCCACCTTGTGAGGAAAATGCTGAGACCAGAAGTCAGAAGCTCCAGCCCCCCAACCTAGGGTCGGTGCTAGCGTTGGGATGACCTTGGGCCAGTCACATTCTAGAAAATGCAAACTAATCAATTGGGACAGGAAGCATATCCGCAGTTGCCCGGGGATGGTGGGGTGAGGAAGGGTGGGAGGGAGAGATTACAAAGGGCCACAAAGAAATTTTGGGGGTTAAGGATATGTTCTCTATCGTGATTGTTGTGATAGCTTCGTGGGTGTATTACGCATCAACACTTATCAAATTGTACACTTTAAACATATAATCTATTGAAAGTCAATTCTACCTCAATTAAGCTTTTTTTGTTTGTTTGTTTAAAGCATTCAAGCCACACAGAGTCAAAATCTCTCCTTCTTTATTCAACATTTTGCCAGGAGAACAAGAGGACATGGGAATGTGATTGGTGTCCTAGAAGGACAAATGCAGTCTTTCTCTGGAGAAGTTAGAAATAGACAAAAATAGATTCATGTACTCAGTGCCTAAAATGCAGAATGAAATCTGCTCTCAAGGGCTTTCAGTGTCAGCCTGACCTGAAGACCTGAAAAGCTCCCAACACCACATGTACTGCAGAAGAATTTTACCCTGAAGAATGATGGGCGAGTTACCCAAACTAGAGGCAAAATTAGGACTCCTTTAAACCTAGTTTAGGAAGATGTGAATTCCGTGAAGTTGTATGCAAATTTTATATGCATAATTATTATTCAGGGGCCAGATTCCATGATTCCCTTCAGATTCTCAAAGGGGTCTACAACACCCTCCCAACAGTTAAATGTAAACAGTGGTAATTACAGTTGAAGGTTAGTGACAAAGATGTCAAATTCAACCTTTCTTAAGCGACTTGTCGCCACACCTTTAATACAAACTGATTTGAAATTAGTAATGGTTGTGCCTTGTTAGTTTAATAATTATATTTCTATAGAGAAAGGAAAATGGAGGGAAAAAATTAACCTTTCCTATATAGATGCCTGTTTTCATGAAGGTCATGGAGATTATTTGCTAAGAATACTTGGTAAGAATTATAGGTAAGAAGGCTGAGTGTGAGTTTTGCTGTATTTCATACTCGATGCATCATGTTGGAAAATCATTCAGCCTCCAAAGGAGATCCTGTCCCCCATCACCATCATCATTATCAATTTTGTAGGAAGAAGGTAGAGATGGTGAAGGTGAATAACCTCACTCTTTCTGCCTCCTGCCCCAGGGTTAAGGAAGGCTAAAACACTGGACACACTTTCGGACTTGTTTCTTGTGAAAATATTATCCCCTACAGAACAGGGACATGTGGGATGCAAAACGGATTGCAGGCCACAGTGCCATTTGAATCCAAGTACACCACAGTGAGGGTCAAGAAGGGTCTCCCTTGTTTCCAGCTTCAGCAAAGGAGCTGGATTTCTTTAAAACAGTATATTCCTGTCCTTGGATTTACAGTGCCAGCCTGTATGAGAGGACTGATTTGTCTTCTTAAGTCGTATGCCTGCCTTTCTGGGAAGCAGTCCCCAGGTGCCTGAACGATGCCCAGATTATATGAACAAGACTAATCCCTGTTACATTTATAGCACTTTTTAGTTTTCAAAGCACTTTTCATTCATTATTTTGTTTGATTTTTACACTGAACCCAGGAGGTAATGCCATGTGGGTGTTACTTATGTCCATTTTACAGATGAGAAAACTGGGGCTCTACAAAGTTAATTTTATTGGTCCTGGACATTGTAAAGCAAATTGCTTTTGAGGGATGATTTAAGTTTGCAGAAAGAGTAAAGGATAATGAGTTTAATTGATAATAGAGGTGGGTTTCTGTACTGTTCTGGGTCCTTTGATATACATGTTGGAGGGAAGGGTTTGAAATACTTACAGTGGTGTGAATTAATTGATAAAAAGTGCATTCAAAACAGATAAAGTTGACTCCCACTATAGCTCCCATCTGTCCGTAAGAGATAAAGGTCGGTGAGTACCTGAAAGTCCCCGTAAAGTAGCCCTTGATTTCCAAGAAACTCCAGAGTCATGGGACAGGACCTTTGCCTCCTGTCACCCTCAGCCTGGTGCCTAGAGAGTTTCAGGCGGCGTAGCTGGTGCTGGTCAGGTCAAGACAGGTTCTAGTCTGGGGGTCCAAGAGCCAGGACAGTAGTCCTAATCTTCACCACCTCCTGTTCTGGCTTCAGGGGGTTGGTACTTACTGGTATAAAGTACTGCAAGTGAAGCACTGGCAGTGTACTTAAGTGTTACTTCCCCCAAGGAAAGTAACTTGTTCTTTGGTCCTTCACAATACAAAGGATCCCAGATCAAGCACTTTACAGTGTTAGCTCATCTAATCCTCCAGCAGATGCAAAGGGAGAAACCATTATCATCTTGATTTCACAAAAGTGGAAATCGAGGCTCAGAAAGGTTAGGTAACTTGTCCAAGGTCACATAGCTAGTAATGAGGGGAGCCCGGCCTGTGTGCATATTTTCTGCCGAATCAACAGAGACTCTGGCATGAACTGTGTGACTCTGGCAAGGCCAGGGCCTCTCTCCAGACCTTTGTTCGTCACCTGCACAACAAGAGGGGTGGACTAGGATGTCTCCAAGTTCCTGTTCAATATTCTTGGCCTTCTTTGATCTGCTATTATGTTGTGCTTGCCGCCGAAGGTTCTTTTGTTTGCCACCAGAGGGCACTCTGCTCCCAAAGCAGGAGGCACTGGGGAACGCTGAGTTCCAATTAATAGTCGCCACCTTAATTGATAAAATTCTGGCCAAGAACAAAAATTCGTGTGCAGCTTTAGCAGAGGGAATTTGTGGAATTCCTAACAAGGCTTTCCAAATAAGAAAATTACCTCAAGAACCCCTGTTAGAATCTTTGCTGTTCTCATGGGGAAACTCCTCCATCACGTACCTCCTAGGGCTTTTGTGTGGTGGGGACCTTGGGAGAATCAGCGCTGGGCAGTTGGTGAGTGAAGGTAAGCAGGCCACCTGCACGTTTCCCAAACATCAGCCCCCTGTGCTCCTCTACCTTCCCTCCCGATTCTTGCCATGTCCCCATCCCGCTGGTAATATTTACTAAATGTTTTCCCTTAC